ATTTTGACCCATACAATGTTTTTTTTTGGCTATTGCTACAAATATACCCGTGCTACTTATGACAGGTTTTGTGCTCCAGGGTCACATATATATACATATATATGTGTGTATAGACAGGATTGTATATAGACAGGAACAATTATTTATATTTAAAGAATAATTTTAAGCAAAATATTATTATTAATAATAATAATAATAATTTATATTTGGATTATATAGGAAAACATAACAATAATGAATAATAATAATAATAACATTTTAATTATATTAATAATAATAATAATTATTATCATTACTATTATTGCTATTAATTATATTTAAATAATTATGTATTAATTATAATAATAAATAAATTTTGGATTGTTTATAGAAAACAACAATTGTTAATAAAACTAATAATAGTAGTAATAATTATCATTATGCATCTCATTTGCAATCCAAGTACTTGCTTTTAAAAATCAATCAAGTGAAAGTAAAATAAAAAGAGATGCTGAAGGCAAAACAGGTGTCTATTTTTAGCATAAAAGCCAGATTATTATTCCTTCCTCTATAGCAGCGCCACCTGCTGCCCAAGCAGTGAATCCAAACAAAACTTATAAACATTATGGTCCTTTTAAATATTGTAATTTAATCATCTTCAATACTTTTTATAAAGCTTAAAATGCTTTGAATTACAAACAGGAACCTCCACCCAAAGTTTCCTCCATACCAGCTTTTAAAGTTCAGTGTTGGTCGTGTTCTTCACGGCTCTGTAAATGTGAATGTCCCTTTGAGAGTCATAATAGACCTCTTGCACAGAGAACCTCCGGCGTAGCTCCATCAGGAACCGCTCGTCTCGCTCGTAACGAATCCGGCAGGACAACACCACCACCGTGTTCTCCGAGCTCAGGTGTTCAAGAGTCTGCAGGAGGGCGGGAAACGTCTCCTCCAGGTAAACAATGTCGGCTCCCAGGATCAAATCAAAGCTGCCTGTGGGATACAGATGTAGATTCTCACCCCAGGTAAGTTCGGATACCTGTACCGCCCCCTGCTGGCCGGGAGGAATGTTTTCACGCACATTGGCAGTCAGAAATTCCAGTGCAGGTTCTCGGTCTGTAATTGTCACATTGGCTCCTGCAAGAAAGGAGTATTACTGACTAAAATAATAATGAAAAAAAAAAAAAAATTTTCACGTAAAGTATTGATTCTTACCGAGCAGAGCAGCTACAATGCCCACCAAACCTGTGCCGGCTCCAAGCTCAATAACTCTCTTTCCTTTCAGATCCACCGTTCCCATCTCCAGGAACATGCAGAGCACTACCGCCTGGAAAATAAACAGGGATTGACTATTAATTTATTATGACTGGAAACAAAAAATCCTGTGGGATTCGAACCTGCAACCTTTCTTTTACCAGTCCAGATGTTTACCCACTAAGTGCAGTTGATGAAACTGAACTTACGGCGTCCCAGACCACAGCAGCGACACCCAATCGGTTCCAGTCCTGGCTGAGTCTGATCCTGTGATTGGCCAGATTAAATTCAGCTGAAGTCTGGTGAAGTTTCGACAGCGCAGGAAGTAGATTCTCATCATAGGGCACCAAAGCCATCTTCAGCTGTTAAAATGCATGAAAAGACCACAAAATATTTTGTTGATTTACTTTCAATACATTAATCATAAAATAAAAGTTAATTATAGAATATGTCATATCTGATAGCCTTTTTTATGTCATGCTATATGTAGTAGGCATGTACATACCTATTTGTAAATCCACCGAGTTAACAGTTCCTTATTCTGTAACGTTTTAAAATTACTTGCTTGCATAGCAAAGAAAAATGAGAAAACTTCAAGAAAAATCCCATACAGACTGTTGGTAAACAAGAGAGACTTCAGCGTGGTCCATTCAGCGATCTGTCGTTCGCCTGTTTTTACTGCTGTCAGTCGTGACTCACCTGCGCCATCTGATGTTTAGGCGTGTAACTGCTAGTGGTGTTTGATCGTTCACGAAGGAACATTCCTAGATGAGCAACATCTTATTTTTCGTTTACTAAATGAAACAATAAGGCCAATGAGGACGCGGTCACTATTAAATATACAAGAATTCAGTATTTATCACACACTAAATGTTTTTTTTTCTCTGAAGAGTTTTCACGACACACATAGGCCTATTACTACAGCAACTGTTCAAATTAATCGAATGTCGAGGCCTAGATTTAAATGACTACATTTATTGAACACAAAATCTACATTTTACACTGACTCTAAATACTAAGTAATTTCTTCTGAGAATTACTGTCAGGCGGACAGAAAACGGCTGATAAGAACTCATAGGCATATAAAATAAAAGCATGAAAAAAATACTGACTGAAGCAAATGTGAGAAAGCGATTCGGGTCCATGATGCAGAAAAAAACAAACAAAAAAAAAGCCTGACAAAAACACTGACTACAGCAACACAGATAATTAGCAAAAATAAATGTGTCAAAGTCACTTCCTTATGAGCTCAATGTGTGGTATGGGTGAATGACTGCTTTTCAGCTAATGTGAACCTCACATTTGATTTTTATAGGAAACAAAATAGATAGTAGCCTAGTTTGGATATCAACCAAAGAGGTGTATAATACCTGGACAATATATGTCAATATCTACAGTTTTAAGATACTGAAAGCATCAAGAGTTTTTTAGTACACTGCAAAAAGAGATGTGTTAAAAATGACACGTTGTGCAGAATTTTAACACGTGGTGAGTGTGCTCAGGGACAACACGTTGTGTCAAATTTAACACAATTTGTGTGTTAAGATGGATCACACATCTACTGTGTAATGTAATTTAACACATTTATTGGTCATGTTTTCCTGTTTCAGCGTCTCTCTTTTTTTTCCAGTTATGCGCTCAGCCTCGCTAACACTTTTCACTAACGACATACTGCTCAGTGCCCGTCGCCACTTTCCAACTAATTAACAATGTATTTGGTAGCTAACTATTTCAATGATCGGTTTTTGCAGCACTACGCATTTTAAAGAGTATCTGCTGTAACTTACGGATAGATGCGAGTCCGACAGCATTGTGATTCCCCTCAAACCAGGCCGGCCCAGCCAGAGTGAAAAAAGCGGGAGCCGCCGCAGTTTAAAAAGACAAGAGGCACGACGTGATTGGCCGACAAAAAATAGCCGTTAATATTTTAAGTTTAATATATTGAGATGTATATATTGTATATTCATTTTATTAATGATTTTTATTAATTATAGAGCTTTTTATGTGCTACCAAATGAAATATATGTATTGTTTTTATTTCCATAAACACAAACTGCCCGTCCAGGAGATTTTTTTTTTTTAATTACACATTGTGTGTTAAAATCTACACCACATGTGTCAGAATGCTGTCAACACAACCATGTGTGTTGTTTTTTGACACATCTGTTTTTGCAGTGTAGGCTATTAATGACACATTTCTGTTGTGGCTTTTTTCAGTGTTTTTATCTCCTCCTGCTGAAAAATGTTTTACATATTCATTTTGTTCTGTTTATGGCATTTGATTGGCAAGTTAAACGTTTTTTTTTTTATGGCTTCAGGTTTGGTTCATTGTTGTTTCATCTTGTTGTCTTGCTGTTTTATACAGATGGAGTATATATAGTGACAGTGACAGAGGGAGATTCTGTTACTCTACACACTGATACCAAGATGCCGTCCGTATGCGTCAAATAAACCTGAACAAATAGACCTGATAGAAACCAATTTGACCTGAACGTAATCTGATAGCTTTAGTCATTCCGTATTATGAGGACACATATAAACTTAGATATTATCATGATGAGATATTCAGAGACAGGCTACAGATTAACAATCAAACTTCTTTAATTAGAAATCATTCGAAATTTCTTATAGCCTACAAATATGTTAAAATAATATTTATTAACAGCAGGCCACAGAATACTGAAGAGAAATTGATCTCAGAATATTTCTAAAGTAGTTTATTTCACTTTACTCTCATGTTTTCCAGCTCGACTTCCCATCCCTGTCATCACCAGATACTTCAGATACATGTTCTTCATCATCAGTGTCCAAATGTGAAAGATCATCAAACTAAAATTGTTCACTGCTGTGTTCAGCGTTGAATGTGGGTCATGTGACTCTCTCCTGGTACAAAGGAAACAGTTTATTGTCCAGCATCAGTGTGTCTGATCTCAGCATCAGTCTCTCTCTACCTCTGGAGGTGGAATATCAGGACAAAAACACCTACAATCAGTCACTGAATAAAGAGCCATGGAAAATTTGTTCTTTTTAATAGTAAGTTCTCGTAAAAAAAGTCATGGAAATCCATTGGTCAAAAAGAGTGTGAACCCTGCAGAAATGTATATACTTTATTTTTTCATTTAAAGAATATAAAGAATATTTTGCTTTTTCAAAGACTATTGAAATCTAAAGTGATGTTTAATATTAAAAGACTAAGTAACACTTTAGTATAGGGACCAATTAACTATTAACTAGTTGCTTATTAACAAGCTTATCATTAATATATTGGCTGTTTATTAGTACTAATAAAGCCCATATTCTGCATGACCATATTCTACATGCCTAACACCGTGTCTACATCGGACGCGAGCGGCGCGCGCGGCGCGACAAAATACTATAAACTATAGAACTCGTTTATAATCAGTGATGCTGTCTACACTGGATTCGGCGCAGTTCGGTAAAGTTGGCAAGATATTCACAGATTCGACTTTTCCGTATCAATAACTCACGAGCAAAACGTTTTTACTACCCAGTTGACGCCTCTTTTCTTTCGTAGTGATGTAGAAAACGAGCTACAAGCGAGTTTTCCTCAAAACAAGCTTTCCTCCGCTCTGTACACAATACATTGATCATAATGCGCTGGCGTCTGAGAGACAAGTCCGAAGGGACCGTCTGCAAAGTGCGAAACGCGAAAAACGTTACTAATAAAATAGCCTACTCAATAACTTCACAGTAACACGCAGTAGTGTCACCAAATTCAGTTCACACATCACTGCTCTCCTGCTGGTTATAGGCCTACTACAAGCTTTTTTTTTTTTTTTTTTTTTTTTTTTTTAATAATTGCTTTTACACATTTTTTAATGATTTTTTATTATGACAAATATTAATAACTTCACTGTAACACACTGTACTTTCTCCCAATTCAGTTCACACATCACTGCTCTCCTGCTGGTTATACTACAACAGTTATTTTGACAATAATTGCTTTTGAATGGTTTTTATTATTATTTGTTTAAATATTAAATAAATTCACTGTTATTGGACAAAATAGTTAATAACTTCACTGTAACACACTGTACTTTAACCAAATTCAGTTCACACATCAGTGCTCTCCTGCTGGTTTTACTACAACACTTATTTTGACAATAATTGCTTTTGAATCATTTTTATGATTTTTTTTAAATATTCAATAAATTAACTGTTATTGGACAAAATAGTCAATAACTTCACTGTAACACACTGTACTTTCTCCAAATTCAGTTCACACATCAATGCTCTCCTGCTGGTTATATTACAACAGTTATTTTTGAAAATAATTGCTTTTACACAGTTTTTATGATTTCTTATTATGACAAATAGTTAATAACTTCACTGTAACACACTGTACTTTAACCAAATTCAGTTCACACATCAATGCTCTCCTGCTGGTTATACTACAACAGTTATTTTGAAAATAATTGCTTTTACATATTTTTTATGATTATTTAAAATGAAAAATAGTCATTACCTTCATTGTTATTGGACAAAATCGTCTTTGTGTTGTAGAATAACCAGCAGGAGAGCAGTGATGTGTGAACTGAATTTAGAGAAAGTACAATGTGTTACAGTGAAGTTATTGACAACTGTCGCGTCCGGTCTAGACACGGTGTAATCCTACCCAATGCCTAAACTTAACAACTACCTTATGAGCATATTCTACATCCCTAATCCTACCCAATGCCTAAACTTAACAACTACCTTACGAACTATTAATAAGCAGCAAATTAGGAGTTTGTTGAGGCAAAAGTCATAGTTAATGGTTAGTTAATAGCGAGAATTGGACCTTAAAATAAAGTGTGATTCTTTGTCTAATCTGCTTGCTGTTTACATTGGGTTGAATGAAGTCAGTTTGAATTGATCGACAGGAACTGAAGGTTGTTTGTTTGAATCCCAGTAGATTGTTGAAGGGTTTCTTGGAGATACTAACAAATGAACTCAAATACTAACAAATTAACTAGGCTATATGTAAAGAATCTGCATCAGTGTGATAATGAAAAATAAAAGAATATGAATCAGTCTGTGGGAAGTCCACTTTTTAACAGCTCTACAGGATGTCAAGGCCAACATTGAAATGAGAAGCCTGATAAAAAATAATGAGTGCACAGATGCTACACAGACGATCAGCAGAAATAAATGTGTCAAATGAAAGTCACATCCTTAACCTCATGACCTCAACTTTTGTAGTTCATAGGTGCAGGACTGTTTTTCAGATAATGTGAACTTTAACTTGCAGCCAGACCCTCTTGTAATTTGTTGCAGCTTCTCATTAAAACCTCTTTTTTGTCCTCAGACTCCGTTCACTGTTGCGGTTTCACTGAAGCTGTGATTCGATTGGTCATCTCTGCTGTGGTGGGCGTGGCTACTGTTACCATAGTGGTGTATGACATCAGATCCAGAAGAGCTAAAAGAAGTTGAGAGCATCACAATCAGTACCTGAATGATGGTCGTGAAAAACCTGGAAATAGAGAATTTAACAGTCACTGGACAGGAAATGAATACAATCTTGAGAAATTTGAATACTGATATTTTCAGCTGTAAGATGTTTTATTCAATAAGTAAGAACATTTATTTTGATTACCACTTCAATTCTGTTGTGGATGCCCATTTAGTTTGATTTCTGTATTGTCAGTGTCCGTATGTGCTTGGCTTGTATAGAATGGTGGTTTTTGTGACACATGTCCAGTAACACCGAGAGTCTGAACATGTCTACTATTGTAGACTGTTGCTTTTATGAAAGTTTATCATCTCATAATTATATGCAGCTTATGTAAAGTTTGTAGTATGTAGCATTAGTAATGCAAAGTTATTATGGGTAAAGGACTGCGTTTTTCTACTGTGAACTTCATATTTGACTTGCACTTACAAAACTTATGACTAATTTAGTATATAGTCCTTTATTTTACTTTAATATCTCACATTTTCCAGCTTCCGTCTTCCCATTCCTGTCATTATCAGAAACTTTTCAAATGATACATCATCATCAAGATGAATATAACACGTGACTATTGAGGAAGAGACAGAGACGTTTAAACACAGGAAGGACAACTGGAGTAGTTCTTTGTACTGACAGACAGAAAAGTTCCATTTTAGACTTTCTCCATTATCTCTTACAGTTGAAAAAATGATTTGCATACTTATTTTCTTCTGTTTATGGCATCTGGTTGGTGAGTTAAACATGTTTTTATTGCATCAGGTTACATAAAGTCAGATTAACTAAAATTCTGTGGTCACCTTTATATTGTTCCAAACCTGTTCGACTTTCTTCTGTGGAAATTCAAAAGACATTTTTGTGTGAATGCAATGCACTGGATCCTTTTAGCTTTCACTATATGCCTTCAAAATATCTTTTGTGTTCCACAGATAAAAGAAAGTCAAACAGGTGTGGATCAACAGGGTGAGCAAATAATGACAAAACATTCATTTTTGGGTGAACCGTTTTTTAAATCTCGCTGTTTTGGTTTGCTTGGTTCAGATACAGATAGAATGAAGATGTCAGTGATGGAGGGAGATTCTGTTACTCTTCACACTGATGTTACTGATATACCCACACAAACTATACATCACATACAGTGGAGGTTTGGACCTGAAAAAAACAAACAAGCATTTATAGTCATTCAGTTTAATAAGGGGGCACCTGTTATTCATTATTTTAATGCTGAGATATTCAGAGACAGACTACAGATCGACAATCAGACTGGATCTCTGACCATCAGGAACATCAGAACAACAGACTCTGGACTTTATCAACTGATAAAATACAAACCGTTCTATTTCAATGTTACTGTCTATGGTAAGTATTTCAATTGAATGTACAGATTTATGCATATTTATGCATTTTCTTTCTTTTGAAAGCTCTTGATAAAAGGCCTTAAAAAGCTGAAAATAAGTGACAATAATAATACTCACCCTCTTCTAATAACATTTTCTTCTTTTGTCTTATTTTTTTTATATTTTCCAGCTCGTCTGCCCATTCCTGACATTACTAGAGACTCTTCAAACTGTTCATACTCATCATCAGGATCATTACAGCAGAATTGTTCACTGCTGTGTTCAGTGTTGAATGTGAGTCATGTGACTCTCTCCTGGTACAAAGGAAACAGTTTATTGTCCAGCATCAGTGTGTCTGATCTCAGCATCAGTCTCTCTCTACCTCTGGAGGTGGAATATCAGGATAAAAACACCTACAGCTGTGTGCTTAACAATCCCATCAGCAACCAGACCAAACATCTGGACATTAGTCAGTTCTGTCATACATGTGCAGGTACGTCAACATCATGTTGTTGGTGAGTTTGTCATAATTTGTGAGAAGGGTCTGGCTAGACTTGCTTTTATGAAAGTTTATCATCTCATAATTATATGCAGCTTATGTAAAGTTTGTAGTATGTAGCATTAGTAATGCAAAGTTAAATTGTTTTTGGAATATAAAACAAATGAACTCTTGTCTGAAAATAGTAACACTAGCTTTTCTAATCTTTTTGTATTCTATCTATTTGTTTTCTTTTTATTACACAATTAACAAAAGCAAAAAAGGCCTCTAACACTAGCTTGCTCTATTCTTTTACTATTCTATGTTTTCTTTTTATTTAGCCTACTATATATAATTTTAAAAAACCTTGCTACGTGTACTGCGTTTAGCTAACTGAGACTTGTTATAGCACTTATAATAATAATAATACATTACATTTATATAGCGCTTTTCTAGGCACTCAAAGCGCTTTACATTGTGAGGGGGGATCTCCTCATCCACCACCAGTGTGCAGCATCCACCTGGATGATGCGACGGCAGCCATAGTGCGCCAGAACACCCACCACACACCAGCTTATTGGTGGAGAGGAG